AACAGCTAAAACATGTAGGATTGTGTCTCCCAGGACCAAAACTTGACACTACTGACAACTAAGATCATAAAAAGTAGAAATAGATACCATGAAATGTTAGAAATACTTTTTTATATCTTTAAAATTAAACAGTAATCCTATAAGTTGCTGTTGTTTGGCCAAGTACAGCCTTCAGAAACTCTCTGCTCTTCTGCACATCACCATTCGTCGTCTCACTCGACGTTTAAGGACCGTTACGCGCGCTTTTCCGGTAAACGGTTCCCACCCACTTCGAGGCGGCTCTAATAGTGCAAAACATCCAGGGCTGAGCAGGGCCAGACCTAGACCATCTGGGGGCCGGGGCCGGGGTCGGCCCTGCAGTGCATAAACGCCTATAGTTAGACCTCAACTATGAGAGACAATACTTCCCCCCCCACTGTACATGTGTACAGAATACTCCATCTTTTAGGAAACTTTTTTTATCTGGTCTTGGTCTTGGTCCAAACCCTAAAAGTCTTGGTCTTGACTTGGTCTCGGGTTAGGTGGTCTTGACTACAACACCAGGACCACCTAATGGAAAATAACAGTTTTAGGGTTGTGTTATTTTAGTGTAATCTTTAATCTCAGAATGAGGAAAAAAAAATCACATAAAAATACCAGAGGATTTAATCCGCTCCACTCCCGGTTCCTCCTCCACAGCATACCAGCAGCTACCAGGCACCCGCAACTCCCCAGGTGATCCCTGAAGGAGGCCCCTGCCCCTCTGAGGAGAACCAGAACCAGAACCTTCAGCCCACTCAGGTTCCCACCCAGCTTCAGCCTCACGGGACCACCCAGGACCCCGGAGGGTTCGCGTTGACCCCTAACGCTCCAGTCCTGTACGGATCCTCGTTCGGCCCCTTTGAGAAACCTCCTCCGTACGCCTGCTGAGCATGGAAACTCACACACATGCACACACACACACACACACACTGAAGAACATCTTCCTGCAGACTCACGCAGCACAAGACTTTTGTAGAGAAAAAACCGTGAGCTTCACTGCTAAGATTAATTTCTTGTCTCGTGGGTTTTTATCTGGTCACAGGTTAGGATTATTTTAATTTGATTAAATTATTTAAACTTTCTCATCGGTTTGTTTTGGTTGTTTTCTGGACCTGGTCTGGAGAAACGACTCTTTTAACGCTGTGATTGCACCTTAGTAAAATTAAAATAAGATCTGCTGGAAGTTGACCCTCCTGCTGTCCTTCAGTCAAACTAGAGGAGTTTTAAATGCGTTGGTGTTCAGTTCTGCATGTTCTAGATGTTTCTCTGCTCCAGCTCTTCTTCAGCACCTCTTCAAGTGCTGCAAAAATCTTTATAACCACCAGGAATCAGCTACATGTAAATAAATGTAATTTAGTTTCATAATGACATAAACGTAGAGCTGCACTGGAAAATATGAAATTTTATTTTCTAAAATGTAAGCTTTTGTTCTGCTAATGTTAGCTTTTAGCTACTATTTAGCTTGTTTTAACAATTAGGGTTTTTTTCCCCTGAAATTTTAGCTTTGTACTATTTTTTAGTTTTTTAGCTTCTACGGCAGCAACGGTTTCGCTCATTTTACTGTTTGCAGTAGTGTTTTCTCAGCCAATTTTAGCTTTTAAATGCTATTTTGAAAGTTTTTAGCTTTTAGATTTAGCTTTTTGCTACTGTTTAGTTTTTTTCAAATTCAAAAATACTTTATTGATCCCAGAGGGAAATTTGGTAATATTATATCATATCATATTATTATATATAATTATATCTATTACAGTAGCTGCACTTTTGCTAATTTTGTCTTTTAGTAGTTTTGCTCATCTTAGCATTTAGCTACTGTTTTTCTCCTTTAACATTTAGCTAGGTTTAGGTATTAGGSCTTTTTTTTGCTAGTTTCAGCTTTTTGCTACTTTTTAGGATTATTTTGTACTCCACAGTAGCTACTATTTTGATAATTTAGTCTTTTACAGTAGCTTCATTATTTTTTTTTACTAATTTTAGCTTTTAGCTACTGTTTTTATAGTTGCAGCTTTTAGGTCTTGTTTTGCACATTTTAGCTTTAGTTTTATTTTTAGTAGTTTTGCTAATTCTACTTTAYARCTACTGTTTTACGGGTTTTAGTTTTTAGCTGCTGTTTTGCTTGTTTATTCTACTAGCCACAGTTTATAGGTAATAAAATGTCAATCGCAGATAACGAGCCGTCAATCACAGAGTAACATGGCACTTTCCTAAAACAAACTAAATCTTAAAATTTTTAGTCTGAAAAATGTCTTATTTACATGGAGAGGGCGGGGCTTAACCATTTTTATTCGATTTGGCCACTAGGGCGTGTTTATCTTTTGTGGCTTCAGCTTCCTGTTACCTGTCCTGTCTCTAGTCTTGTCTTAATACAGCTTTTATTTAACGTGAGGTGAGCTGAAACAGCTAAAACATGYAGGATTGTGTCTCCCAGGACCAAAACTTGACACCACTGACAACTAAGATCATAAAAAGTAGAAATAGATACCATGAAATGTTAGAAATACTTTTTATATCTTTAAAATTAAACAGTAAATGTCCTATAAGTTAAACGTATGTCAGTTTATAATAAATCAAAGGGCACCGGAGAATGGACGCTGCTTTTATTTRTCATTTAATGTGCACTTTACTTTTACTGCATTATTAAAATGTGTGTTCAGTGTTTCTGTAGCCGCTGCTATTAAATTAACCTGATTTAAACTTTAACCTGTATGTATGCAGAGTAAGGGCTTCGATATAATCTCACATTTACAGGACGAGTTCAAAACCTTTAGAGAAATGTTCGTCTCATTTTCTGAGTCAAAACCATTGATTCGTCATCATTTCACAAATTTATATAAACTGTGAGCAATAAAAAGTGGTTCTGACCGWCTCAGTCTGTTAATTTGTCTTCAGTTAACTTTTTAACGCAGCTGATATTTTTAAACGTTTTAATCATTTCCTGTTCAGTCTCTTCTGTAGGTTCAGCTTTTTCAGGAAAGTACAGCTTTGATTTTTCAAAATCTAAAATTGTTAAAAAATTCTGCTCTTTAAAATTTGAGCTACTGTTTAGCTAATTTGAATTGTTAGATATTTATTTATATTTTACCTGATCATAGCTTTTTGCTCCTGTTTTGCTTATTTCGTCATTCAGCTGCTGTTCTGGTTTTAGCTACTTTTTTTATTTTTGCTTTGCTCCTTTAAACTTTTATTCTTAGTTTTTATCTTTTACAGCAGACACTTTTGGGAGCCTTTATTTTTGTTCTTTGCTAGTAGTTCTAACCCATATTTAGGTATTAGCTGCTAACGTTTTGCTAATTTAAGGTTTTAGCAGCTGTTTTCTGAAATGTTTTGCTTATTTTAGTCTTTTAGCTATTTCCCTTTTTTAGTTTTGAGCTACTTTTCTGTGATAATTTATTGACCATCTTCTTGTCATCTATTTCTGATTTTAGCCTTTTTTTCCTTTAATCCATTTTTGCTTATTTTAGTTTTGAACTACTGTTTTACCGTTGTAGCTGGAATTAATTTAATTGATGCTCTTTAGCTACTGTTTTCCTAACAGTTTGCTAACTTTAGCTTGTTTGTTCTGTTTAAACATTTCAGCAGTCGTTCGGCTCTCTGTCCCCACCGCCTTGACTTTCACCATCTGTTATCTCTGATTTTCCTCATTTCTCAGGAAATTTTCAACATTTCTGTTGAACGTTTGAGAACATTCCAGAGGTGAAACGGAGCTTGAAGAACTCAATCTTTAATCCAGCAGATTAAACRTCTCTATCTCTGAACTTCTTTTTGATTAAGTCTAAATGTAACGCCATGTAAAAACACAGAACTGTGAAGTTGAACACAGCCACGAAGAACTTACGGTAAGTCCATGACGTTCATACAGACAATTTTATTTTTAAATAGATTTTATTCATTTTTACAGTGGAGGAAGTAAAAACTCAAAAAGCAGACTTCTCTCTCGCAGTGTACACATACTGGCAGTTTAACGTGAAAAACAACAAAGATACAACACATCAGAACATAGAGAATAAAACAATAAAAAGGTCGAGCTCTGGCATTTATCCAGCTATAAAATGATTTAATTACACAGGAACAGAAATCACTGGAGCCCTTCAGGCGTTCTCAGACATTCATGGTTTGTTTTCAGCACCGGTAAATTAAAAAAACGGGTTCTACGGAGGATCTTATTGCTCTCTCTCTGCGTCAGGAGGACATTCCTGCGACTCGGAGAGGTTGGGTTTTGTTTCGGAGAACCTCGAGGTGCAGAAGTCGGAGTCTGACTCTTTTCTACAAGCGTCGTCACATTATTTACACAGTATTTTTTACAGCGCTCTAATCTCAGTAGCTTGAGTGGTTGCGGTTGATGCAGTGCCGAGTCTTTCTGTCGAGGAGGCGGTGCCGTTCCTGCGCTCCCCGAGTTCTGGAAACCGGGTCGCTCCGAGGAGACGGAGGGGCCGCTGTGACAAAGTTGGTGATAAAATTCATCCGATAAAGTTTTCACTGCACCGAGTTTGTTTTACTGGGTGACGGGTAGTTTTTATTTTGTTACAGTACAGTCGAGAGGCGGCGTCTCGCTGGGCTGCGGCCCGTCGGTGAACGGCGTTCCAGGACGTCTCGAGACCTTCGAAATTTTCTCGCTTGGGTTTTGAACTCGTGATGGGTGTGTCAAGCCAGCCCCAGGAGCCGCTTTCAGTAGCGATGTGATTTACAGGTCTTTAAATGTTGTTTATTTTAAAGAGTCGGTCTTTCAGGTGCACTGCTGGGCACAGCTAACCAAAACGTTAGCCTCGCTAATTCATAATGCGGTAACTAAAAACGTAGCTTTTCTAAAAGGTAAACAAATAAAAATTAGCGGAAACAAACGCTAATAAGCTAAACAAGTAAAAACAAAACAACTAAACAAGTAAAAATGTAGCAGAAGCTAATGCTAAACAGCTAAACAAAAAAAATAGAAGCTAATGCTAAACAGCAAAACAAGTAACAAATTAGTGGAAGCTAATAGCGAAACAAGTAAAAATAAGAAGTTAATGCTGAACAAGTAACAATTTAGCAAATGCTAACATTAAATGGCTAAATAAGTGAAAATGTAGCAGAAGCTAACACTAAACAAGTAACAATTTCACGGATGCTAATGCTAGACAGCTAAACAAGTAAAGATTTAGCAGAAAGCTAATGCTAAACAAGTAAAAACTTAGCAGAAGCAATGCTAAACAGTTAAAACAAGTAAAATTCGAACAGAAGCTAATGCTAAACAAGTAACAATTTATCAGAAGCTAATGCTAAATAGCTAAACAAGTAAAAATGTAGCAGAAGCTAATGCTAAACAGCAAAACAAGTTACAAATTAGTGGAAGCTAATAGCTAAACAAGTAGGAATAAGAAGTTAATGCTAAACAAGTAACAATTTAGCAAATGCTAACATTAAATGGCTAAATAAGTGAAAATGTAGCAGAAGCTAACACTAAACAAGTTACAATTTAACGGAAGCTAACGCTAGACAGCTAAACAAGAAAAGATTTAGCAGAAAGCTAATGCTAAAGAAGTAAAAATTTAGCAGAAGCAATGCTAAACAAGTAACAATTTATCAGAAGCTAATGCTAAATAACTAAACAAGAAAAATGTAGCAGAAGCTAACAAACAAATGTAAATTTAGCATAAGCTAATGCTAAACAGCTAAACAAGTAAAAATGAGTGGCAGCTAATCCTAAAGAAGTTAAAATTTAACAGAAGCTAACGCTAAGCTGCACAGGTAGAAAATCAGCTGAAGCTAACGCCAACAGCTAACCACCGAGAACGTTGCTCAGTCTGTGTCTCGTCTTTGTCTCCTTTCAGCTGAAGATGGTGAGACTGACACAAACCTGTTGATGTTAGCTTGTTAGTTAGCTGCTAGTGGACCTGGACTTGGGAAAACATTTTAGTGGAAGCTAATTGGTCCTCTACAATTTTTAAAGTTAGCAAAACAGCTAGTGCGCTAAACTGAAAAATTAGTTCCGCTTTTATCTGATCCGAATATTTTAAACGGCTCTTTAAAACAAACAAGAACAAAGTTGAGATTTAGTTTGTGCTTTCCTCAGACACACACACACACACACACACTGAAACAATGAAGACATCACTCACGTTCAAAACTCAACCACTCCTAAATCCAGGTTTGCGTTTATTGGTTTTTGCGTTGCCAACTAGGCTCCGCCCAGCGAGACGCCACCGTTAGATAAAAGCTGTCGACACGTTAGAGTTGGGATTTAGTTTTAGGCACACGGTTGATATTTAAAGGCTGCAGGCAGACACGGAGCGCTCCGCTGAATCGTAGAAATGGGTTCTTGTCGCGGTCCGTTTGCGCCTGCGGCCATGTGCAAGCTTGTTGTGGAAGCACGGAGTCGTGCCTCGGCGCTCAGGACCGGTAGATTCAGGTCCGCTCTGAATTATCGACGCACCAAACGCTGTTAAGAGGTCGAAGCACCTGTTGATACATTTTCTCTGAGTTTAGCAGCGAGTTTAAAACTATTTATCTGTTTGTTTTTTGTTGATGTTAGCGTTAGCGCTCACTTTGTTCGAAGCTTTGTGAACGTGAAGCAACATGACCACAGATGACGACTCAGAACCGACCCCGTGAGTTCTGGTGGGCAGTTATTGAGGGATGTGACATAAACAGCTGAAAATACTGAAAACCAAACACAGTGAGAGCCTCCGGTCTGGGCCGGACAGGAGATGATTCTGCAGCGCCAAATTTATTTAAGATTTTAATTTAATCCCCCCCACTGGTCAAGAGCTTTTAGAACCTTAGTGGACGTGGTCCCAGAACCGGACTGGTCAGTGGTGAAAGTCCAGCAAGGGGCAGGAGTGTGAGCGGATGTCGTTGTGTTTGTGGACGGCCGTGTCCAGGTCCAGGTTCTTCCCATTCACGCGGACCTCCATGCAGCCGCTGTAGGGCGCAGACACGAGCGTGGACACCAGGGAAACGTCTGAGGAGGAATACAAAATGACAGTGTCAGTCAGCGGACGAGACAGTCCAGTTCTGAAAGTGAAAACAGTTTTTTTTTTAACCGTTAGTTACAACTTTAATAAAGTGATAGAGCTTTTCTGTTTTTTGGGGTTCCACAAGGTTCTATCTTTGGTCCTCCACTTTTCGCCTCTTTACCTGCTTCCACTGGTGGGCACAGTTCTGCTAATCCGCTAACAGCCGAACTAGCTTTTATTCAGCAGATTAGCTTATTTATTTATTTATATATTTATTTTTGCTGAATTTGTGAACCATTAGCGGACTGATTAGCTTCTGCTAAATTCTTTTCTGCAACTTGTAAGTCCACTGAAGGGTTCACAAGTATAAAACATCTTATTTTATGTAATTCATCCTGAATTAAATAAAAACTATCCGCTCTTACAAGCAGTGCTGGAGGTGTCAGGCACCAAGTGTGTAGCATGTAGCATCTTTAGCAGCTAAACTTCAAACTAAAATGTATCACAAGTTAGACGGAGCTCTAATTCTGGTTTGGATTGGCCTGTTTGCCATAAATTATCCCACCCAACTTGAAATTTAAGTGTCTACGACATTAAATTTTTGTAATAAATATGAATGTATTTTTAGAAAGATAACATTGATTAAATGTTGTAAAAAAGATTTCACGCCTTTGAGATGCAAAGTTGTTGAGATATTTGCATGTGCAATAGGGCTGCCACGATTAGTCGACTAGTCACGATTATTGTCGAAGATTAAAATCGACAACTAATTTAGTAGTTGATGTGTTGTTTTACTTTTTTCTAACTTTGCTTTTCTCTCCAAACTGTTGCGGCACCTTCAACTGCCGCGTCTGCCTTTCTGTCCTTGGCACACATGCACAGCTGTGGTAATTAGGGCTGCCACAAACTATTATTTTTATAGTTGACTTAATCACTGATTGTCAACTATAAAAAAATATATAAAGCTAGAAAAAATGACGCATCGACTATTAAATTAGTTGTTGACAATTTTAATTGTCGACATAATCGTGACTAGTCAACTAATTGTGGCAGCCCTAATGTGCAGTAATAGGAAGTGATGTCATAGGGGAGTGTCTGAATGTGAACAGAGCAGTGCTAATATGGCTAACAACAGACTGTAGAGAATAATCTGAGGTTTCTTTAGATTATTTTAATCACTTTCACAGAGAGATGAGACAGAGTCAGAGTTCAAATAATATTGTTTCAATAAACAAAAAAAACAGAGTTTTCTTTCTCAAAGAGTTCCCCTTTGATGTCACTTCCTGTTTCACTTTAGCTGAGGGAAATTCAGAAGAAAATATGGCAATTATGTGACATAACGGGTAAAAATCATGTGTATTATGCTAAGTTTCTTAAATATAAATATATTGTACTTTCTTTGACTTTTTGTATTTCATAGATATGCATGTCACAGGCACTTTAAACAAATATAAAACTAAAAGGTTTGTGTCAGTCAAACCAGTCTTCAACTGGAAGGAGATGAAGACTGACGGTCGTCTTAGTGGTTCACTTCCACTAATTTAAAATCTGTTTAGCGTTTCTGGAGCTAAGTGGTTAGTGAAGCCAACTGTTTGGTTAGCTGTGGCTGTTTCCATCAGGCTCAATACTCAAAAAGTTGATCCATAATTTTGAAAATTAATCAGCACTTATTTTACTCCTTGGCTTCTAGCTCAGCCAGAAACTTCCTCTTACTTATGTTACTTCAATTTGTTTGATCTTATTGTTTAAACTGCTTTTATTCTTTATGTTTAAATGGTCGTATTTTATGTGAACTGCATGTTGCAGCATYGGTTGCTTTAAAGTGATTTATAGTAGTAAAACCATCTTGTATTTGTTCTGTGAAGTAAAAGTTAAAGTGTTGCTCCTCACCTGGAAGGCCTCCTACATACGTGGTGGAACGTGAGAAAAGCTCGGTGGGAACCTCGGCGTCCTCGCTGCGTCCGGTCTGGCCGTCGACCAGCAGGACGATCTGTTGGTCCGAGACGGTCACCTGGACCTCGTGGCTCTCGCCGTCACAAAAAGGCGCAGGAGAGCTGGCGACGACGACGGTTCCCACAGAAACCAAGAGAACCTGCAGGTAAACGGCAGGTTGGTTTGAGTGAGCGAAAACAAAAAAACACCAGTGGAAGGCGGAGCTAAGGTTTACTCACATCTCTCCACTCGTCTGTGGYGGGGTTGTAGTCTGAGAGGGCGATGGAGAGAGGCACGCCGTCCTGGTAGACCAGAGCAAACAGAACTCCCATAGCAGAAACGGGCCGCAGGTTCACCTGGACGCTCAGGTTCTTTGGTTCTGAAGAACAGAGATGTAAGGGTTACAGTTTTACTTTTTATACCTGTTTCCTGTAAATGTGCCTGAAGTTCTGATGGCGGTCTGGGTTTTATTTTCTCCTCGCTTCAAATACTATGAAGAAAAACAAATAAATAAATTAATTTTTAAAAAAACAATGAAATGAGGATTTTACAGACGATGATTGGAGCCACAGAGAGAAAAAAAATTAACATATTTAGTGATTTTCTTCACTTTTTTTCCTCTTTAACATCTCTCTGTAGCTCAGATCAGTTATTGGCAAACATATTAGGTGATGATGTAATCT